AGGGGCGGGGCCGCAGCTGGGCGCGGAAGCGTGGGGCGGTGGCACGTCGTCCCCGCCCCGCCCTCGGCCCCCGGGATTCCAGGCGCAGCGCCGTCCTCCTCTGCCTCGATTTACCTGTGGGTGCCACGGGCGGAGGCCCGGCCCGGACGTGGGCGTCGCGCACGCTCGCATCGTTAAGCGCCTACTGTGTACGAGGGAGGGCGCGGGGCTGGACCCGGGAGCGGCCGGCGCGCACTTCCGACGATCGACAGTTGTAGCTGAGGAAGCCTACTGTGTGCGGAGGGGCCACCCGACTGTGTGCCCGCCCCGCGCGGGAGGACACGGCCGCCGCGGGCACCGGCGGGGCGGGCACGGGAGGAAGGAGGGGAATGGAGCGGTGAATGGGATGGGCACTGCGAGCAAATGCGACGTCCAAGTGAAACCCACTACAGCACAACAACTAACATACACCCGAGGAGTGCTCTACCTCGGGGCTAGAGGCCCAACATCGAGCCCAAGGACCACTGACTAGCCGGGCCCTGCAAGCCCAGCCCTGGGGAGACCGAGGCCGGAGGACTCGGAGGGGGAGGCCAGCCTCCCCGCGTCCACGGAGCCAAACAAACAAAAGTGACCAATGCCTCGCCGTCCTGGGCAGGCCCCGCCCCCGGGCAGGCCCCGCCCCGATGACGTCACCCGACCACCTCCCGGCTTCCCCTGGGCCCGGGCCGCCCGGGGTCAGAGCCGCTGTGTGGCGGGAGGGGAGTGGACGGGCCGTGCTGCTCCCGGGGAGCCTCGGGCCGAGGCTGGGGGACCACAGAAGCCCCGTGTGGGAGGACGGAGCCAGGGGTCCGCGGTGTCCCTGCCACTTCAGCCTCCAGCCCGGCTGCCGCTGAGTCCGGCGGTGAAATACACGATCGCTGCCCCGCCCATGCCGTGGCTGTGGCCGGGTGTGGAAGGACGGTCAGCGGGCCGCGAGGGCTCCAGGCGCCGTCTAGTTTTCTTTGAAGAGTGAGGCCAGGATTCCTGGGCAGGCCCTCTGACCTTTGCTCCCTGGGCAGCTTTGCCTCCGCGGTCCCGGGGGCCTCCTCCCTTCTGTAACTCTAGTCCCTCCAGTGAAGCCCGCTGCTGGTGTCATCTGGACACTGCAGGGTTAAAATTTTACCCCCTGGGAGCTCCCCTGCTAGCACGGGAGCTCCTGCTTCCAGAAAAATCTTCCTAGCTTGCTGCTGGAGTCCCAGAGCCACAAAGGGTGTGTGTGTGGAGGGGGAGGGGAGGTAGGATGAGTAGGGCTTTCATCAGTGACCAGCCCTGGACTGGACAACTGAGGAACCCACAGACCCAAGATCCTACTCTCTCAGCGCCCGGAAGTGTCAGCCTGGCCCTGGTGCTGTTGGGAGCTCTGTGATTTGGGCCAAGGATCCAGCACACCCCACCTACTCGAGGCATAGCTAGGAGATGGGGGTCCAAAACTGGCCTGTGCAGCAACATGAAACCCCACCTGCAAAACAGCCAAAGCAAAATGGGTTGGGCATAGCTCCAGCGTTAGAGCACTTGCCTAACAAGCCCAGGGCCCTGAGTTCAAATCCCATCAGTGGAATAGTAGGCACAAGCTGGCTCCAGTGGCTGACACCTGTCATCCTAACTACTCAGGAGGCTGAGATTTGAGGATCATGGTTCAAAGCCAGTCCAGGAAGGAAAGCCTGAGAGACTCTTACCTCCAATAAACCACCCAAAACCAGAAGTGGCTTAACTGGTAGAGCACTCGCCTTGAGCTGAAGAGCTGAGGGACAGCGCCCAGAGTTCAAGCCCCATGACCACCACCACCACCAACAAAGTAGACACAAATGGTTATAGGAAGGGTCTCTTGCTTTGCTTTTGCTTAAACTGACCTGGGAAGCCCCTGAGTAGAGCGGGGCAGTGATTTATAGTTTTAAAAACCCACTGATGGCCTGTAATTCTAGCGGCTCAGGAAGCTGAGATCTGAGGTGGTTTGAAGTCATCCAGGGCAGGAAAGTCTGTGAAACTCTTATCTCCAGTCAACTCCTCAGTAAAGCTGGAAGTGGTGCTGTGGCTTAGGTGTTAGAATGCTAGCCTTGACCACAGAGAGGCTCAGGGACAGAGTCCAGGTCCCGAGTTCAAGCCTCAGGACTGGCAAAGTAACAACAACAAAAACCCCACTTGTGTTAGGGAAGACACTGTGAACGCAGTGCAGCGGTTGGCCCGGCTGGCAGAGCCAGTTTTTTACTTTCAACTTGGAGGGCACTGTCATCTGTGTGGGGGCCAGGGCACAGGAGGGATCCTGTCCCGGGGATGTGGCCACAGGTGGGTAGGGGACAGGACAGTGGGTCAGAAGTTGCAAGCTGGAAGGGAAAAGCTGGGGCTTTTAGAACCCGAGCAGGGGGCGGAGGCAGGGTGGCCAAGGAGGGCCTGGCGGAGGGGGTCATGGCGCCATGGCGCGGAGTGGCCTTGAAGGCAGGTCCTGGAGGGCAGCCCCGGGGTCTGTGGGAGTGGGGCACGGAGCAAAGGGCTGGGCCGGGAGGGTCTCCTTGCTGCGACTTTCCTGCCCCAGGCTGGCTTTGAACCCCGCTCCTCAGGGGCGCGGCTGACGGGGTGGGCTGAGCTGCTGCGGTCCGCGGCGGCGCTGTCGGTGGCTGGCCGCACCCGCGGGCGTCTGGCACCCGGATCGGGCGTGGCCTTGCTGGCCGACGGGCCCCGGGGGCGGCACGGTGGCAGTGTGGCCACGAGCCGGCCTGCGGCGCCAGGGTGGCAAGGGACCCCGGGATGTCAGGGTGTCCCAGTGGCGGTGTGTCCGGCCGGGGCCTCGTGCTCCCCCAACCAGCCCCCGAGCAATGCCCCCGGTCCCCGCGAGCGCAGGAATGCCCGGCGCGCAGCAACGCCAGCGCTCAGCACCCACCGCGCCTGCGCCGCGTCCCTGGCTGGCTGCTGCGGACCCCAGCGCTCAGCACCCACCGCGCCTGCGCCGCGTCACAGCCTCGCTTTTGCAGACATC